GCCAACCGATGACCTGGCAGAGGAGTATGAAGGAGATGACGAAACGCTTGGGTGCTGTCGGTGCTACTCGCCTTCCAGGATGGGGACCGCGTGATCCTCACTGTGCCTGGTTGGAGACACTACAAGATATGGCTGCCAACCGATGTCAGTGGCGTTCTTGTTGTCAGTTTCTGTCCAGATTGCCTGAGTGAATGTCTGGAGGTGTAGGCACCTCGGAATGATTGTGTTAAGCTAGCAATAAGTCTCTCCCCCATCCACCTTTATTCTTTTCTTTACAATAAGGCTTTCAAATAAGTCATGGCTGCACGGCAGTGAAGCATTGGTGTTGAGCACTGATGTCATGCTGTCGTTGATGATGATGATGATGTTACACCTTCACGTGTTGTAAAGGTGGTTCCCCCAGAAAACAGACAACCCACAAGGCGACTTGGAACGCCCCCTGTGGGCGGCCTTTGTTCGAGGGAACGATCGTAAATCTGCCAAAACTAATACAACTACCACTCCAAATAAGCTTTCTAACTTGGGAGACATACACAGAATCCACAGTCCATTCTAATCTACGGCATCAGAAACAAGGTTGCGTGATATCAAGGAACAAGTATTTGTATGGGTTGAGGGTCACTTGCCTGAATAGGTCTGCTTCAGGTCTTGCAGGAACTTCTGGCGCAGTGCAATTTCAGTTTCAAGGCGGGCTGTTCGGCCGGTGCGACGTACATTGGCCAACTCTTCATTTTCTTGCTCCAGCACCCGAACACGCATCATGATGCGCTTCCCATTTTGGCTGAAGCATTGATAAAATGCAAAACAGAAAAAAAAACAATCACCTGACTGTTCAACAGAGTGGAGAGTAGATTGTCTTAGCAAAGAATTTCAACATTGTGCTCTGGAGAGGCGGTACACAATGGTATCGTAATCCCCCCTCCACCGCTCTCTATCGAGGGGGGTCGGGGAAGACAGAATTAGACATTCATGGGAGATTTAAGCAAAAAAAGCACGAACAAGGGCTACACAGTTCAGTGAAGAATGCCCGACCAAACATGAGCTCATCAATGCGGAAGCCGCACAGTGCCAGCACTAGGCAAATTCCGCCACAATTTGATAACGCCTCATGCAGTTGACTGTTGCTGTTCGCAGGTCAGTTTGGACAGCATTCACATGTACCTGAGGAGTAAGGGATATTCCGACACAAATATATATAATGATAATCACTCAGCTGTAACACCTTTTCGGCGCCTAGCGGCCATGCCACAGGAAGGAAACACGGAGAGTCAGATACTGCCAGGTCGCCCAAACCTAGGCAGTGAGAATCGAGGTACATAGGCCGGTTTCGAACCACGGACCTTCCAGTCAGTGAGTTCGCGCCTTAACACATCAGTATCAAATGCAAAAACTCATGGTCAGTACGAAGGAGAAGGTTTCCAGCGTTTCGTTTGCTAGGAATGAAGAAATCAGGCGAACTCGATAGACTGGATGCGAAAACGCCAATGGGTGCACCACTGTGTAAACTCTGTTGGCCTCACTGATTGACACGGGTTCCTCGACCGAGTGCACGTTAAGAATAGCTACCGAATGCATCGACCGCCTTTCCGACTGCAGCCTGAGGAATAACTGTTGAGGTATCTGAAACGTTCAGAGATGTTGAATTTCATACTCTCGTCCCACTCCATTTGCATACTCGGCCAACACAAAGGTCGCCCGACCATGTCATTTCCTTCATCTCAGCGTGTCCTTTGCTAACGTTCGTCAGTACGAAGCTACACTATTAGTGATATTTCAATACCGTTCGATCGTACCCTAATCGTTTTTCTCCGGGTCATTCGGACGAAGTTCTCAATCGTCCTATTCATTTATAGGGTACGTGAATGGTCTTGTTCATGAGCACGTCTTGAACGCAGCGACGTACCGTTGTTCGACACTGGTGTTCTTGCCATTGTCCATAAAACAATGCTGCTTGACCATCTTCATCTGGTACACAGCTGAATGAAAACTGGACCAGGAGAAATCAGTTCGCTGACCAACAGAACGAATTCCCTGCTATTCAAGATGAATTGCACCATACCAATGTTTCTAACATCAACTGGAGCCCGCCCGCAGGGAGGGGAGCTCGAGCGGCAAGAGAGTACCATCCAAGCCTACCCACTGGAAACTGGAGACAAATGGAAAATTCAGATCACAAGGGGCTCGTAGAAGCTTCGATCACCATGTGCGCAACACCATCGTGTGAAACTCCATCAGGGTCCTTGTGACACGTACACACATTATTGAGACAGACTTGACACTCAAATACACCAAGACCAACAAGACAAAGGAAAGTAGCCAATATTACGGTCCTCCCAAGGTTTCGCGCGAAGACAAACGGCTGGGATAAATAGTCACGGTTCTTTTTTCGTTCGCGAGGTGGGACTGAATGCTTGGGATCTGATCTAGCTGCGTTGTTTTCCCAGTAGGCATTCGACTTGCTTAGCCTCTATTGAGGAAGATCTGCAAGCTGCTTTCACGGAGGCTGGCGAATGAACCACAAAACTGATGGTGAAATTGATCCTACCAGTGCCCTCTGTTTACCGGTTTTCGACCCTCAAACATTGGTATTATTGGCCAGGTTAGTGACGAAAAATTACATTCCAACACTGTCATAATGATCTCAGGGTAAAATGATATGGGATACCGTTATCTCTCTCCACTAAGGAATATCTGGTATCCTATTAAGAAAGGTGACTGTTGAGACCCATTGCCCACGCTCCCCGCTCTTGGCTGACATAAATAGGGTTGTCGGGCGTCTGCAGTTATCAAAGGCGTTGGGTACTCCGGATCAGTGGGAAGTAAACGCTTGATATGCAATATCAGGACGCGGTTGAGTACAATAAATAAGAAGACAGATAATAATTGTTCAGCTGCAACGCTAGCCACCATTCAACCTGAATGATTGCTTGGGCTAGTGCAACGTTGCCGAGGCCTGGATAAGAGCAGTTGAGATGCCGACTTTAGGTTCGAAACACGGATCTTTTGGCGCCTCAACCTCTACTCTGTATCCAGCTGACACATCAGTACGCCAACGTGGTGAACCCGTCCGGCAGTCACCGGCTCCTATCATCTGAGCGACCTAGCCAATCTCGAACGATAGAAGCACAAACTTGAGTAGGGTGTGTACCGAGGTAGTACACTTGCATTTACTGCTTCATCCCATATTTCAGCATCATTTGTTGCACTTTAGAATCCTACCGTGCGATAGAGGTCACTGGATGGCCTGGTTATTGGCTAGATCAGACAACCGGTGACCACCACCACCATTACCAACAACAGAGTAAGGAACAAACCACAGTCACCGTGATGTTTACTACTAGATGGGACTGAAACATTTCCGTAAGGAGATCGCTTCGTGAAGGAGAAAACCATACCTTCCGAACCGAGAAAAGTAACACCTAGAGCTTATTCCAGAACAGGGATGTGAATGCACAGTAATGAATCAACTTGGCTAACCAGAAGAGGCACAACTGTCGTCTCAATAGTTCGTCTTTACCGTTCGGATGGACTAAGAATAGAATGAAGACAGGCGGTCTTTCCACCTCTGCTGATGGCCTACAGATCGGTGAAAAAACCGTCGGTTCGAAGAGCGTGGTCATCGATCGCACGCTTTTCTCAGGTGGTATACATATGAATCAACCCTTCAACGAAGGCGACACGCAGAGCTAGAAATGGACTGACAATACAGCCAAATGGAACTTTTCCGCCCGTTGTAGGGAGAAGGCGAGCAGCTCTGAACTAGGGACCAGCTTAATCTATCGAAAATTGAATAAATACAAGATACTGAACACTAAATGCAATTCCACAATGAGAAAATCAAATTATCGAGCAGCTAAGGACCTGAGAACCTAGTCTCCAGGCTCAGTACATCGGTTGAGAACAGCACAATCCAGAGAATTATGTTACCTCTCCGAGAATACTGTCAAAATAGGATCGATGTGCACCAAACAGACACGGTCAAGGCTGGGTTATAGAGTGCGGTGTGCTCTGACAGTAATTATTGTATCCAGCTTGGTTATTCTGTTTGAATGGGCGTTAAATTATTCACAGTATGACTACTTCCAAACGCGTGTTACTTGAATAGAAAAAGTTGCTGGGAATAACCTGTTGGGAGACTAACACATGAGCCACAACCCACTTAAAATTGAGTAGCAAATAATAGTACGGTTGAGAGAGGACTCCAAGGCAACGAAGTACAACTAAATGACAAAAATACTGACGCGAACGGAGCAGTCCAATGAACAAAATACACGCACAGCTGCAACAAGAAACGATGGACACAGGTCCTTTGGGAACTTAGTGAGGCGTACTCGTAGCACACCAATGCGGAAAGAATATATCTATCAACCGTGAGATTCGGATCATAGCTACCCTGCAACTAGGGAAGGCTAAGCTATCGTCAGATTGCTCAGTAAAAGAGCCGCAGGTGGTCTACAACCATCGATCTTTCCGTCAGACATTCGCGCTTCCCCTTATTTCAAGCACCAAAAAATTACCGTGCCGTATGCGCGATATAACCACTACGTGAAAATATGCTCTGAGCCCAAATCTTCACGCAATGTGGGCGATTCGTTCCTTAAGTCAACATGAATAGTGTTAGGTTCCTGAGTTCGTTTTCCGTCAGATGTATGAAGTCACGTGTTGGCAGGTGGGAAACAGCGAAGCATCCGGAGGGCCAAGCACGATACACGCATGGTTCACGTACCATGAGTTTCCTGACGACTCAGCACTACTGAAACAACAGATGACAAAACCAATCGGAAGAGACGAGGACCAAAGAAGGTCAAAATCACAGATGAACCCATTTAAGCATGCCTGTTCTCCTGCAATCCTTTAAAGGCAGACATGGTAGGAGACCGAACAGTCTCTGAAAACGAGCAACCCCTGACTCCCTGCACTAAAACAAACTACCTATGACTCTATCGAATCCCGAATGAGGGGGGTTACCAATCGATCGAAGGTGGAGGGTGAACCCCGACGGCAGCAAACCGGTATCCCCCCCCCCCCAGCCGATCGTAACAAGTGACAAATTACAGCCGTCATCATCTTCCAGTAAAAACGGTCATAGTGAGACAAGCGCACCATGATCACATTACTTCGTCACGAATAAGTGAATATTTAAGGGGAATGTTAGATTCACTTGTAAACAGACCATTGAAAATGCAAAGCAAAAATTAGCCCACTGAAAAAGAAGTGCGGATAACCAGTCGAGCAGGACTGGGTGGTTTAGTATCACAAAGATACCGAACCACCAGGACTGAGCAGCTGCACCTGACAACAGGCCTTCGACCCACAACTGCCATGAAACATGATGAGGCTTTGGGCTGAGTTCACTCCAACTAGAACACAGGTAAGTGGCCTCCCCGAGTCGTGTGTGAAAATCGTTCAACCAACCGACTTTAACAGATCTGGATGACGGCAACCAGATATATGGACCAACAGCTGGACCGCAAAGCTGAAGAATTTATAAAAACGCCGAAGTGTGTACGGATCAGACAGACAGATGAATACACACAAATACTCATGAAAAAATAAAGTGCTAAAAGCAGATCAGGAGACCGGAAATGAAAACGGAGGGGGCAACGCAACTGCGTCAATAGGGAGGAAATATCGGTAAATGATAGAAAAATAGAGAATCACAGTTTGAGAGTACAAAGAAAGTAAATCAGTGGGACAACCATTGCAAGCCACCACTAATAGGGCGCCTGAAAAAACGAAATGCACTGTTGAAATCAGGTCACTGAGGTGGTAACGACGGTGAACATCACTGGTTAAACAAATACAATCAGCGGATACTTAAGAATTCATCAAGTACGTGAATGATGCGAACAACTGACCTTTTCCGCTGAAGTAAGCAAATTGCGGGTATAAGGGAGGGGAAACAGCACCGACGACGAAACTAGAGACCGTGTCAGACAAACACAAGTTAGCAGTAAAGATAAAACTGAGAGTTGTTGGACCAACCACTTGATGGTTGTATCCGTTAAACCGATTGTTCCACACCGTTGCAGGGGAACAGCGACAGCCATTTGTATTTTGATTTAAAGCGTGAAGAGAGACAAGTATAGGAGTGGTAAGTCACCTGTTCTGCGTGAATGTGAACGACTGAAGATCAGTTTGGCTCGTAGCAACTAAAGCGTGACAGTTGTTTTGTGCTCTTCGAAGACGAGCGAGGACCAAATTCACACAGGAATCGATGAAGACCTTCGAGTAGAGTGGAACTCCGCCATCGGATTCGTTGCTGAGAGCGGATGGTCCATTGGTGAGTTTTCTAGAATCTGAACGTGAACTCAGGTTGGTGGTGCCGGTGTGAGTTGCACTTGGTCCCGTTGACGGTAGATGAGCAGGTCCTAACAGTCCGTCAGCACACTTGGTTGTTCCACCAATTAACGTTGGGACTGGTCTCACTGCGGGTACAGTGGAAAGGATGGGTGCTATGGTGGAAACAGGCTGCTGAACAGGAGGGGATTCGGAATCGGATAGGATGGGTCGAGGCGCCTGAAATAGAGGAAATTTCCTTCAATCCATGTAGCTGTCACGAAAAGGCAGACAAGGTAGGAAACAAAATAGCACAAGCAAAAAATAACAGTGGTACAACCTGAGTTTAACAAACAGGCAGCTCACGTGGCTGTGGAAGAGTAAAAACGAAAACCGGAAAAAATATCAAGCTGAAGGCAGTCAGTTAGAGTTTCCTTTCGGTACATAGCTGTCATGCAAATCCTGGTCCGTATAAGACCGATTTTTAGGTACTCTGGCTACACTTACGCTTTTTTATGTAAAATCGCAGACAGAATAGGTCAGCTCATTCTATTGTGGAAAATGTATAAAACACGAAAATCCTATGCACATTGTTTATAAGGTTATTTAAGGAAACCAGAGAGGCGAATAACTTGCTGTTTTATGGTTGTTTCTTTTTATAATAACAACAACAACAATCAACCACAAGAAACCAGTAGATTGAATGAGCATAACTTTTTCGATCATTGCCCTCACTGTACAGTGTTGAGGGGATCACAAAGATGGTTCAGATGAACCGAGCGTACGAAAATCAAAGAACCTGGTAACCCCGCACTTGTGGAAAACCACCGTATCTAGGCAAGGGTCCTCCTAATAAACAGCATCAAACGGTGTAACCAGTGACATGGGATCAACGAGCGTTCGTTCTCTAAAACGGCACTGACAAGATATCACAAAGAACAAAATAGTCCTAAAGGAGCACTGACATAATGTAGCGTTCTCCGGCAGGAAAAGTGGTTCGAAACATCTAGAGGGACACTGATGGAGTCTGACTAAACACCAAGAAAATTACAAGGAACCACTGATGATGGTGGCTGACCTCTGTCTTAAGTTGAAGCGCCATGCGCCATCCGTATAAGGAACACAGGGTACGAGATCGCGTCTACGGCCACGCGCAATGGGAGTTACGCAGTCCCTATCCTAGAAGTCGAGTAGCACCGACAGCACCCAAGCGGTTCGTAACCTCTTTTACGCCCTTGTGCACCCTTCTGCACCCGGAGAACAGCACTCTATTGGGCAAGCGATTGTTTGGCATACGAAATACATAGCCTAACCAACGCAACTTCTGGTGCTGGACATAATCTTCAATGGCAGTCCCCGTTATCCAACAGAAAACTCACTTTCTAGTCGACCCGTTACGAATTCTGATACCAATCCACATAAGATGTGGTTCTGAGACAACAGTTGAAGACATCAAGACCTCTCAGTTTCGCTGATGGAACAGGCCAAGATTCAGCCATACAACGAAACAGCCTGATACACAATTCCCTTGAGATTCAGGGATATACCGCTCTGACACCACAGGTGTCTCAAATTAGCAAACGCGACCCGAAACTTGCACATTCGTGGATTGACCTCGTCTGTCACACTACAGTCAGAACTAATACAACTTCCAACATACATAGAACTCTCCACAACTTCGAGTCTCTCCCTAGTTGGAAGTGGCGTGTCATCATCATCATCATCGACAGCATGACATCAGTGTTCAGCACTGATGTTGAAAGCCTTATTGTAAACAAAAGAGTAAAGGTGGATGGGGAAGGGACTCAGTGCTAGCTTACCACAATCATTTCGAGGTGCCTACACCTTCAGACATTCACTCAGGCAATCTGGATAGAAACTGACAACAACTCCAACCAGGCAGTGAGGATCACGCGGTCCCCATCCTAGAAGACGAGTAGCACCGACAGCACCTGGGCGTTTCGTGATCTCCTTCATACTCCTCTGCCAGGTCAAGGGTTGGCCACCTCTCTGTTTACGTCACTCTGAGTTGGGCATGGAAAACAGCACTCTCTTCGGCAAACGATGGTTCGGCATACGTAACACATGTCCCAACCAACGCAGCTTCTGGTGCTGGACACATTCTTCAATGGAAGTACCCGTTACACAACCGAAAACACGCTTTCTAACTGCCTCGTTACGGATACGCCGACACCAACCCACACGAACTATGGCTCTGAGACAACAACGTCTCAGGTCCACTGCTCGAATAGGCCAAGTCTCACAGCCATACAACAAAACAGCCCGTACTGCAGCTTGAGGAGAAAGTGGACATCTCTGATGGACACCACTTTGTGTGCGGAAGCTTTTGGAGAGCTCTGCGTAAACTCTCACACATCCGGAATTCTGAGAATACAAAGAACGTATTATGTTTACAAACTTCCGGGGCATTCCTTGGTGGGCAAGCGTCTCAAGGAGAAAAACCGATCAACCGAGTCGAATGCGCCTCGGAAATACAAGAATACTAGAATTGTGGGTCGCTTATACGCATGGCGTTGTTCTAGCACCTGACGCGGTGTGAAGATTTGGTCAACACAACCCCTACCAGCCCGGAATCCCGCTTGCCACTCTCACGATCCACCATAAGGCGACGAAGCATCACTGTGGCCAACAGTCTCGTTACGGCCGGGGTCAAGCTGATAGCCCTGTAGTTACCGCACGCACTACGAGGCCGTTTTGAAAATGAACACTATCACTGACTCTGCTCAGTTGTCTGGGACAGACTCCCTTTCCCGAATGCAGGCAAACAGACCAGACAGGCACTGACTAAGGACTTCACTCCCACTTTTGAACAGCACAACAGCTGAAGTAATCGTTCACCATTGTCCGTAGCGTTCAACTGTAGCAGTCTTCCGGTGCCTAGCTGCCATGCCACCCGAAGGAAGCACGAGGGCTAGGATACTGCCAGGTCGCCCAAGCCTAGAGAGATTGTCCGTACGTAGCGACTCCAGTCCATGCGCCAAGCCTGCCCACATGTGCATTCAGACCGGCTACCAAAACGATATCCACAGACCACAGACTTTCCGATAGGTGGCTTGCACCTCAACTTCCGGATCATCCCCAATGACTGTAACTGGTTTCCGGAGATCTTGAGGATCGGTACTGACGGCTGATTCTTACGGAGCGAGCTCCTGTGGTCAAACAAACTGGCCATAAACATCGTGAATCGTAGTTGCTTGCTTATATATAATAATCAGAAGCAAAACCTGTGCACAGCGTATCACAGAAGGGGTATGGTCTGCGCACCTCAGTTCATCTGAGGAGTGAATCACTCCCACTACTTATGATACTTCTGCCACCAATAGTCCAGTTACCAAACGAACTACATGATATTACGTAGATATGGATTTTCAAAGAGCCCAAAATTACATGTAAACTAAACATTTTGAGAACGACGCTTCCCATCTCATATCTTCACGTGTTCCACCTTCTACTCCACCGCACTCCAATTTGTATATACCTTACGCAGGTCCCAGCAATAGGACTGACCGCTTTGTTCACCGTGCATCAGACTACGCAGCAGCTTCTGTACGTCTGACCTAAGTAACAATCCTAAACACTTCGAAGTTTGCTTTCAAAACCCGAATGCCGACCTACTTGACATCACATTGAAGCAAGCAGGAAAACAAAAGCCTCTTGCTCGTTTGCCGGGTTTCTTCTGCCTGTCAGAAGCAAGGATACGGGACGCGAGCAATGTAAGTGAACTGACTGCTCCTAGCTCTCTTCTTATTCTTCTGGATATCCAAAGCGCCACTCTCTGTCTGCGGTACAACCCAACAAACCTCATACAAACACGGGCTTTGCTGTGGGCCCGGCCAAAGGTTCCTCTTAGCGACAACCACAACTCGACCCGACACCAGCTGAAGCTGAATGTCCAAGCAGACCTAGAAGCTTAATGGATCCGAAAGGCCAAAATTATGGATGCGAAAAATACTGGAAACATCCACAGGCTGTCCCACTTGATTAATTCGACTGGTCCTCGAAGGCCCATTGTAAGTAAAACTATTAGGGACCAGGATGGCTAATATTAGGCAGAGAAGAATGTTTGGACCGTTGGGACAGTAATTTGAACATTTCAATTAACCACATGCTAACTCCAATCCGGAATGTCAGCATTCAACAAAAAGGACTGTGAACGGCCTCAGAATTGTCCGAGTGTATATGACTACTTAAGTAGAATCGAGCTCCTGGCGCTGACGATTTTCCGCCTGTTCTCTTCAGTCAGTGCCACCCTAGGCTATTTGTGTCTATCCGGGAGAAAGAGACCGTTCCAGTCGATAATAGTGCGCATCTTCAGAAAAGGTGTTCACACTCAACGTATCGACCAGAGGTCAGTTTGACCCCGTTGTGACAGGGCTCCTGACATCGTCTTACGGCGGCACGCAAATCACTGGTACGTGAGCGTCAAACGGGATCTTGACCGATAGAGGCATCGATCTCCTCACTGCTTGGTGCTACAGCAACGCCACATGTACAGACGACACATTTTCAGTGTTCCTTAACTCCAGGATGTCGCAAACTGCGAGATGGACAACACATAATCTAGATGGGGTGTGAGAGGTTACGAAGAGCTGAGGAGTTGTTGGTACGTAACATATGGAGGGTGATCAGTTGACCCACCGGGGGTGAATTAACTTCCCCGAAGACCATCTGCTGTAGTTCGGCATAAATAACCTGGCGTTCCCACCAAACTCATGGAATGGTGCGGAGCCATCTATGGTCAAACACAGAGAGCCCTCGAGAGTCTTCCACATGCAGCGGTCAGGTCTCCGATTCATAAAGTAGGACAGATCGGACGGCGGCATTGTACACTGCATCTTCGAAAACCAAGCCGTCACGTCGGCGTCACAAATGTCGGGGAATGGCAAACGCTATCCTGGCCATCTCAATTTGAGAATTGATTCCGATTTCCACCAGACCACCGGAACTTATGCCCCTGCCCAGATAGGTTAACTTATCTACACCGATCGGCCCACCTGCAACCATGGTGTTTGGATTTGATCCCACCTAATCTAGCATCAACACCTTGTACTTCACATGCGCGAAGTGCATACCGAACTAAGTAGCAGAACTACTTAGATTATTTAAAATAATTCTGCATTTTTCAAGGGTTTGGTTCTCAAATTACGTGAGCAAACGCCCCGAGAACGGTTCGATCCTTGAGGTGCTAGGGACAGGTAAAGAAGATTCACGCAGTATACCAACAACGAAGTTGGAAAGAAAGGGCCTGATTTGGGGTCTGGATATGGTTAGCTAAGGAGAGAATTAGCAGCAGACAGCTATGCGTCCACGGGAGGAGGCAACGGACTTGCAAACCGTATGGTTCAGATATTTTGTTGGTTTGAAGCGATAGGATTGAATGCTGTCGTCGATGCCGGACTGATGCCGACGTCTGATCCAGGTTGAGCTAGTCCTAGATGATGAGTTGATGAGGTCCAGCTGAACGGTACTTCTAAGTATACAGTTCGCCGTTCGGATCAAAGTTGCTGATCGAGACCAGGGGTGTGCGAGGGATCTTCGACAGACGGTTTCGGCCTCTCACTTTTCTCCAGTGGTCATCCAAATTACCAGTGATTCCGTCGAGTTCTGGGAGTTTCCCAGTTAGCTCAACTCGATTTGTTAAGATAGGGAGGTGCTTTACAGGAGATGAACTGAATGTTTTCGCATTACCAGCTTGTTTGCGGGAGAACGGTAGACGCCCGTGCCCGCACAAATCCGCCGCCAAGATAACAACCTGAACATGCATATCACCCGCCAGAATCACAATATCTGCAATTATCGCTTATCGCAGTGACTTGGATAACTATCTTTCTAGTTCTTGGAGGTGTCTGTTGGGGCTGAAACAGCAAATAAACAATGTTTACCGCGTCGAGATGCAATGATCTTGATTGAGCTCGTTAATCTAACCGCGCCAAGACGACTGTCAGGAACCTAAGGCCTAGATGTGGGCATCTGAGATGCAGAGGATGAGTTTAAACGATGGATTTTGCGATCAATAATTTCGGCCTTTAACCACTGGGCTCAACTGTAAAGTGCGATAAATATGGGTTTGAAACGAGTGATTTGAGATGTACGACCAGATTGGAATATTGTATGAGTGTTTTCGAGCAATAAATAGCTGACGAAAGCAGCGATGTGGTAAAGGTCCACTTGATTTGATAAAGATTTATTTTTTTCAACTTTACTTACATACGGAGCAACGGTTAGGTTATTGATAGCCAAATGAGTCAGCACTTCTGAGGGATGTTGGGGGCAAGTCAGTGAACGACGAAGCGACGAGGTGTGGAATACATGGCGGGAGAGTTAAACTAAACTTGTTGGATTGTTTTCCGATTCACTTTCTCAGAAAGTCGGCTTCAGCTGCCACAGGTGCTGTCACCGGAAAATGAGTGTCGGCACTACAGCCGACAACTTTTATGCACGAAAGCCACTGATTCGTTTCTACCAATGTCATTCAAGATTGGTGAGCTGATTCCCGGGATCTTTATACGGAAAGGCGACGTTTTCGACCCAACCGAATTTACTGGCTGGTATTTTCATAGTTTGTTGCTAGGTCACAGATTGTGCACATCCCGATCGCTTTTACTCAGAACGATGGACGAAAAGAGTGCTGTAAGGTAGACAGTCCCCCGGAAATGCGAAGCGCATGTCGTAAACATCGTAGCGTACCAAGCGTAATTGTACGTTAATGATTCCTGCTTGTTTATCAGAAGTGCCCGACCGTCCACTAACTAGATCATGAGCAGCCAACATGGTGAGCACCTTTTGTCGAAGCGTGCAAAACGGGGACCAGCTATTTTCAGCAGTTCCAGGGATCCACGTGAACTATACTGGGGGACTTCAATATGGTAATATTGACTGGAATAAGCTGCTGGATGACCGGACCACGGGTTTCGTGAGGGTACCGTTATTTTTGTGGCGGAAGAGAGTCAAGTAGTTCAGGACACTTGTTAACCGGGAGGGTGGACGGCATGCCCCAACCTGCTGTTCAATGAGGCCGACAACCCTCGCCACCTGGAGTACCGAGAGCCGTTGGCATCTGGTGAAGCTGGTGTGAAATATGCGGCTTCATTATAATGAACATATCGATACCAGGTTTGGCGGACTAAGTTTCCGGCGACAAACAGAGTGGTCGAACACTAATTGGAAGAGGATACTGACGCGATATGGTGTCAGCTCCAGAAAAACCTTCAGACTGTGTTACAGATTTGAGCTGAAGGGGAAACAGCTGCGATAAGAGGTCCGCCCTGGCGGTGAAGAACGGTATAGCTGGCGAATTCGACAGATACAAGCTGGAACCAGTGGAATCAGCTAAGGAAACCTGGTCGAAGAGCCTACGGATTTCGCATAATCGAAAACAATAGGGGACAGCTTTACCGGGCGTATTCCTGCATCACTTGCAAACGGTAGACAGCTGGTGAACTGCTTACATCAGGATGTGCGAGGTCATGCCGTGGAATGTCACAAGGCCATTTGCCTGAACATGATCCACGGCGTACCTAGCACCGAAATCTCCCGTACCACCTTAACTCTGAATAGGGCACAGAAAACAGAACTCTTCGTTGCATAGCCAAACGCTCGCTTTCCAACTGCCCGTTATGGAATCGGTTACACCGGCCAACACGAGCTATGGTTCTGAGACGATTGTCGAGGATCTGAAGACGTCTCATTCCTGCTGCTCGAACAGGCCAAGTCTCATAGCCAACAACAAAACGGCCTGACACACGTCCTTTGAGACGTGAGCAGTAGTCGTCTCCCTCCAAATTCTCCCTGACCTTCTAGGTCATGCAAAGCAACCAAGCCTACTCTCAAAATCAACTCACCACAGGTTTCAACTTTATTAGCAACTTCCCAAAAGGGTTATCCTGCGTAACTAAACCGTTATGTCAGGCAACACACTGGACTGCATTAACAGACCTCAGTATCTCCACCAGTGCCAAATATCTGAGCTTCTTGAAAGAGTCCGACAAATTGGAGCACACCCCAGAAACCAAACTCTCTACTCTAGATACTGCATAGTTCCACCGTTGCCTCAGGGTAAACATAAACGAAACTACTACCTTACCCGATAGTAAGTGAAGTATTAAAGGGTCCATAAATAGCCCTAAGCTAATCAATACCTACATCAGTGACCTGTTGATAGGGTGCTTATACATCAAGATTCGAGGATCGCCACGTCAGCCTGCCATTTGACGCAAAATGTAAACTCCATGTACGTGTCCGGAGATGTAGACTGTGGCACACCAGCACTGAATCCCTTGCACATCCAATCTTATTTTCCTCGCGATAAAAAAGGATTCAACTGTAGCACCCTTTCGATGTCCAACTGCCATGCCACCAGGAGGCACGAGGGCTGGTTTACCGCTAGGTTGCCTAAGCCTAGACAGGGGAAGTCGAGAGGTAGTCACAATAAAAAAATTTCAAACAAATTATGATTGCACTACAGCGAACCCTCAGTGTTGCACATCGATAATACGATAATCCATTTCTACCCCGAACATAACACCCAACTGCCCACCAAAAGTAAGACGGCGCGGTTTCGTTAGAAAAAATCGAGTTTGACCGAAGCTACTACCTATCGAACAATCTATACCATCAGGCGACTTCCCGAAACACTACACATCCGATTACTGTCTAGTATCTGAACTTTTTCCCCCAAAACACAAGCACTGAATGCCCACCCATATTAACCATAAGTATAGGGTGCGGTCACCATGGTCACTAGCAGCAACTACCGCGCAGTACAATCAACTTACCAACCCCCTTGCTCACTTCCCAAGCAGACCTCGATCCACACCATTCTCATTCGGCTCTGCTGTTTTACCATACATATCCATTTACACCATCATACATGGTGAGGGGCAGCTGTCCTCTACTTTCAACTGCTCGTCGCGAAAATCCCCTATCCGGTTCTGAGTTCATTCGGATTCCACTCGTATAACACTTACTAAGCCTATTAAAACAGATAACGATGCCTTCAAACGGGCCAGGTGTATGTTCTGGACATACCCCGTGCTTAGACTAATGAATCCAAATGCGGACTGATCTAGGCATTAACCGCCTAGTTGCTGGATAGGTGGATTCGTGTCGACAACACTCGCATCGCCTGCAGACAGAAGCCGTGTAAGCAGCCGGAGAATACACAATAGGAAAACACCCAACCCGGGCTAAATACGGGATGTGACCATAATAAGCACTAAGGAGCAGTGGTGCAGTGTATGGGAACCAAAACAAGTTCATGTTTTTTATACTGAATTCTACAGCGCTTTTCGTAAACTCCTCATTGATCAGAAAAAATACAAAACTGAGGTTGTGGTAATAGCGATGATCGGACGAAACATTCAACGGCGCACGCACCAGTAGAAAAAGTAGGAAATGATCACCAGGGGGCTTACCAGAAAGTGCCGCAGTTCTTTCTCCTTCGTGTCGGTCTTGGCGATGATACAGGACTCAAGTGCCTCCACAGCTCGCTGCTGCTCCCGTAGTGTGGCCTCTGAAGGGAAACGTAAAAACTTTTGAAGAGCCTACTTAGCTGATCCCGTTCTGCTGTAACTTTCTCAATGGCTATCTCCAGTGAGGAAATACGGTGAGCTTCGTCATCAACACCGCGTGTGTTTTCCGAGGTACCCAAATTAGAAGGGGAACCATCAACTTCAACGGACTCGCGGAAGTTAGGATGAGTGGTCGACAGATGTTGACCGACGTCCATTACACGGAAAAAAAGGACGATCAAACGACCAGCGGGCCGTAAATCGCCATCGTCAAAGCACTGACCTTGATAGCCTGCGAACGGCTTGAACAAACAAAACAACAACGGTTTCACAGAGCGAGTGAAGTTGGCGGTTCGTACCGATTCATGTTAAAAACGTCGGAACGTTCAATCAGAAGGCCGAATTAGTATCGTGAAAGCCTGATACTTCAGAGGTTGGTAAGATTTTCAATTAAATTCAATCATTCTAGTCGCATCCATAGGCCAGTTCTTTTTGCTTGGCATGGATTCACGGATTGATACACAGGATCGAGGCTTTTGCCCAAGTTTCCCTGGTCGGTTTTGTTCTTGCCGGTCAGTGGCTGTCGTTCGTCTAAAAGGCACAAGTGAAAAAAGGGTGTAGCACTGCTCTTTATGTTCTCAGCGCGGGGCAGTATGGTCGCCAGCGCGAGGATTCGCATAAATAAATGTCTAATAGTGCTTTAAATTGGGTTCGAGAAGGAGCGAATACAACCGTCGGAGGAAGGTCATTCCACGCAGCTGCTACCCAAAATGAAAAAAGTTTTGTCTAATGAATGTGTGTGCCCTGATCTTGAAAATTTTCTTACTATTTCCCCGCCGGGTGTTTGCTGGGTCAACGGTAAAAAACCTGAATAGCAAGCTTTGTTCAAACAGGGCATAAGTAAGAACTAGGTCCTCTCGGAGTCGACGGTACTCCAGGGGAAAGAGATCAAGCATCGCGAGACGCATTTCGTAGTCCACAGATTCGGGGCCGGCAAAAATTCTCGTAGCGACTCGCTGGGCACGCTCAATGAGGGTGACGTATTACTTGCATCCTGTGTGGGCAACTTGGTTGGCGTATTCCAGGAGCGGTGCGACGTAGGCCCCGTT